AAAGAGATGATTTTAAATACTTATTAAGGAAAACTTTTCTTGGGAGTCGTCTATGATCGCTGGCACTTTCCGGGGCAGTACACTGTCAGAGATGTCTTGGTGTCTGAGGCGCACGGTATTATTACTATGACGTGATGATCACTGAGGCATTTCCCCTTCCTGGAGGTGCCGGCAATTGTGGGCGATCCCAAATTTAAAAATTAAAATGTTAATGTGTTTACTATGTATTCTGTGCGTGTATGTTTTGTATGTTTGGTATTCAAACTGACAAGCCACCGCTTCTTTTGATGCATATGTAAATAATTTGCAATTTGTAATTTGTTGTGGATTTTTTCTGAATAAATGTTAATTATATGTCTATTTGATAATATATATATATATATTTGGGTCGCTGGTTAACCACGCAATTCCTAAAGAAATTATGTATGTTTTTAAATATATATTTGTTTAACAATTACTTAAACAGCGCCACATGCGATTTGATCGGGATCAAGTTTGTCGTAAAGGAGTCTTACGATCATTGAGACGATTTCTGCGAGTTCAGTATCGACTGGAATCAGCTGACCTTACTGGTATATGCATCAAATTTGAAGAAGCAATTCAACTGCTCAGTTGCCTGCCAACCAGCTCCGGCAAAACCCTCTCGAACCTTTACATTCACCAGCTTCTGCAAACACACGAAGAGGGCTACACGCAGATGAGTTTTGTAGAAGCCATTGGTCGATTCGAAAACCTTAGTGTGCTGCACATCGACTATAACTGTATATCAGACGACCTCTTAGTAACTCTGTCGGAACACAAACGAGGTATTCTTCAGGAAATTGTGATCAAGTGTCGACGCGAAGACACACATAATCACGTGGTCGAAGAGGAGTCATGGAGAAAGCTGCACAAGAGTATGCCGCTATTGACAGTGGAGATGGTGTGCCGGGAGATTGTGCGTTTTTCTGCTCTAAAGCCAATCTTGGTATCGAGCATGCAATTGACTAGTCTAGAGATCCTTGGCCATGATAACTCGGACAACTTCCAACCTGATCGTCTGCTGAGGCATATTGCCAAGGCGTTTCCGATGTCATTGGAGAGATTGGTGGTAGACGTCAATCAGGTTCGGAGAACAATGAGCCATGGGTTTTTAGCAATCATCATGAACTGTATAAATATTGATTACTTGGAAATTCATGGTAGAATCTTGGTGGAGTACCTACAAGAGATGTTCGATCATTTCCAGGTAGTTGTCAATAAGGATAGATTGGCGCCAGGTCCAATGCATTTTAGATATATCGGATACGGCCTAGACCACATCGATGGATTCGCTGAAACAGCGGTGATGTTTGAAGACTATCAAAATTTAGTAACACAGCACAACTGTACGTACGAGTTTCTGATGGATCCGTATTTAGCGACTGCCTGGTTATAACAACCTCATTTATTAATTACAACCTTGCTCTACGTTTTTGACGAATCATGTTTAGTATAAAGAAAGGGCAAAGTTCGGTTGATTCTCGAGCTTGACAAAGGGCTGGCAAAGTAATCATTTAATCTTTGTAATCGATTTACATTTTTCAGCTTTAGGTAAGATTATATCATGTATTATCACAATTGCTACCCTAATAAAAAATATAATAAAATTTACAATGTCGTAGTTGCAATCGCATTTCATTGAGTCTGTTGCGATTAAACAATAATCTGTCTTCATTAACTGAACAAATGACTTACTTTGTGTAAGTTACGTTACCAAATAAGGTAAGTTACCAATCAACCTTATCCATACGTTGGTTGGACCAACTGGTAATCAAGGTAAGGATTTTCGTAGTAAACGTTTGTTACAGAAATCCTGTGTTTATTTTATTTATTTAGGTACACAGTACATGCACCAAGGATTGTCAATAGCAAAATACAGGCTGTCCTACTTGTAGGTGACCATCCCTTTCACAAGACAATACACACAATACTTTACACAAAGGGAGTGAGTTGTTTTGGTTGAGAAAAAAAATTCTTTTTAACACTGACAGGAATTGAACCCTGGACCCTGGGATTGGAAGGTAATCATCTTAACCACCACGCTGCATACTTGCTTTTGTAAATGCACTCATTGGAAATTTGAAAATTATTTACCCTTTTAAATGAGTAATTTAATGAGATACTTTAGGGAAGAGGCACCCACTTGTACGAATGGGTCTCTCGCACTGCCACGCATTATGGCGTACCAATGAGAGTAGGCCTAGTACACATGGGACTGTTTGCGGTAGAAGAAAAAGATTATGGAAAGAGATGTTTGAAGAACACTGTGTGGGACTACGTTGTTTGTTGGAGGAGCGAGAGTGGATGAGGGGACGTTTTTGGAGAATGTGGGTGAAATTCGTATGTAGGAGAAAAAATGTTCTGGGTAAGAAGTGTGTGAAGAATGATATTTTTGGAAAGGTTCTTGTAGACGGAGAAAAGTGTTTGGGAAAAATTGAGTGGTGAGAGGAGTTGTGGTGTTTAGGGAGACATGCGATGTGAAGTGAGATGTTTTGTGTACTGAAGAACGTATACAATGGTAATTTAACAATTGGACGAACGGTATGGTAACAGAAATATCAGTGAAACCAAGGAAACGGAGCTAAAAACTAAGCTAGCATACTACGTGTTCTAAAACAACGTCGAATATGAAACGCCACATAGGCATCTATAAGCCTAATGGTAATTATACAGAGGGATATAACCACACGGATGTAACTCATTTTTATAAAATTATACCAAGGTTATACCTGGGTCATATAAAGAATGTCAGTTTGGCATGCCAGAACGTTAGGCATGCCTTTTTGGCGTTTGATGTGCATAGAATTTGAAACCAGCAGATGTAACTGACAGTTTCATTGGTCACTTGGGATGTACGGCGTTCCATACACAACTGTATTGATTCGGAAAATATATGTACAGTACATGGATTCGCCTTCAGGAAATGTTTGGTTAGGTTATTATACATAATACGATAAGCTGCAGATTGGAATGTTTTATTTATTTACGAGGTGGAGCCGAACGCAACAGTTCTTTCAACGAATGAAACTATTCTTTCCATTGGAAGATTAAAAACATTCATTATTAATTAATTAATTAATACACTAAAATAGATCCTTGTCATTTGATATTTTATGAAGAATAAAGTTCTTCCGAATGGGACAGTCCCCATCGGTATCCGGCCAGTTTGTCGAAACCCAGTTTGCCGAAACTCAGTTTGCTGAATCTATGGCCACTTTGCCGAAATTAACCAAGTTTGCCGAAATCATGCCAACCCAGTTTGCCGAAACGCAGTTTGACGAAACTCAGTTTGTCGAATCTTGCCGTCACCGTTGTATACTGTACTTTTCGCATTGCATTGCAATAACTTCTAAATGAATTCTCAATCGTACAGATGCAGTCATAGTAAGAAAGTGCTTCATCGTAATCATTTTATGATGTTAATATTTAACTGCTTTTAATTGACTTTCGGGAAACTGAGTTTCGACAAACTGGGATTCATGGTTTTTGAGTCGGCAAACTGGCATTCGACAAACTTGGATTCGGCATAGTTGACTCGGCAATCTGACATTCGGCAAACTGGGTTTCGAAATTCTCGCCTAGGTCGATTCCATCATATTCTTTCAACGAATAAAAACATTAAATTGGTGAAGCCGTACAAAATATAACTACTTGAATGGAACAAATTGAATGGAAATTTAACTACATTACATTACAGTATATAACAAAAATATAAATATATTATTTATCTACTGTTCACATCGTTCTACTACATCAGGGGCTGAAATGAACCATAACATCGGGATAACCCTCTACTCGTCCGAAAGATGCAATGAGTTCTTAAAAGTGTACACGAGTCAGATCTATAATACACTGGAAATCCTTAAGTGTTTGTCCGAGGTTCTACCAACCACCAACCAAACCCTGGGCGGCTGAAACCAGCGCCGATGTTAATGCTGTAGTCAGCGGCACACCTGCCAATATTACTCGGCCACTTGATTCGCCCAAAATGTAAATATAAAATGATAATAATAATAAAAATAATAATAATAATAATAATAATAATATTAATAATAATAATAATAATAATAATAATAATAATAATAATAATAATAATAATGACAAATGGCAATACCAATGAAATTGATAATTATAATCGTAATAATGATGATAATGATGATGATGATAAAAATAAAGATTAGGCCTATGTTAAAACATGAGAGGTTGCAGCATAAAATTAGATGAGGCATACCCAGGTGCAACGACAATGTTTACCCTTTCTACATACAAAAATGAGGACCAGACAACACCTGTGGTTGCATTGTTTTACAATTATATAATTCAGACATCTGTTGTTATACAGACCGATGATAATTATTCATGCCATTAATCAACAGTAAAGCAAACCGGTAATTGTGAATGCAATAGTTTTCTGTTTTTCTAATCATACAACTAATATTAATTAATCCATCAACACTCAAGATCATATAATGATTATTCATCACCACCCACAAACAGGCAATTACATTTTTTGTCAGATTCGGTTTCAACCTATGTTACACGGAGCGCCATGAACATTATTTCCTCATCTGGAATAAACGCCTCCCTCTAACAAACTCCCCCTCAAAAACCCTTCTCAACAATAAACGCTCCGGGGCGTTAATTCGAATAAATACGGTATATTACTTTATTGTATTAAAGTATATACTAGATACAATTTTTAAATATTGTGTACGGAATGTATGAAATATAATTAGAAAAGCATTCTATCCACTTCATAATGTTGTTAATCTATCCATTACTACATGATTATATTAACCTCTCCCCACTCCTCCCCCTTCCCGCCTACAGTATGTTATACTCTGAATGCGTCGAACTTCACTTAATGATTATATAAATCTAGCTTATTCGCTCTGTTAGTTTTGATTTATAATGAAAACTAATTCATGATATGTTTTTAATAGTTATGTTATATTGAGACCAGTTATTTATGAAGAGCTAAGTCTAATGGGAAATAGCAGACCTAAAAGATGACTATTTTAAGTAGAAATGAATGAATGCTTGCGTAGGTGGATGAATGAATGTATAGAAAGATCAATGAATGAACAGTGAATAAGTGTGGTGTTTCAGAGGTAGGTATAAACTTTCATAACTTAATTCCAACGATAACGAACTTCCATTTATTTATGATAACATCATTTATCGATAACGATTTTAAGAAGAAAAAAAAATCGATATAATTTGAATTACATCAATTTATAATACTTTTAAACTAAGAGTTAATAAGAAATAAGTTAATAACATTTCCCAAGACTGAGTAAAAGAAATTGTGTTGTCTGCGAAAATTATGTAGCATTGTAATAGGCATAGGAACAATACGTAATAACATTGCTGTTACTATTATTGCACTGTTATCATTATTTATAATTACGCATATCACGTTCACTATACGCCCTCTTCTTAAGCATTTTTAACAAGACAAGATTTCCAAAGAGATACTGTTTTATATAAGAAATTTTACACGTGAAGAGATACATTCTGAATGGTCTTGCGGTAACGCTTTATAGCTATTTTAGGTATAATGTGGTATTTTAAGCTCATTAAATGTTAACTTATATTAAAATGTTTCATGATTATTCCATTGCTGTTTTTTTTAAATAATTTACTTTTACCTTTTACATGTTGATCATTAACTATGTTTTTAATCTGTACAGCGCTCTGGTCTGTTTTTGAAGGACGCCAAATAAATGATTGTGATTATTATTATATATACATTGTAAACGGTAAAGAAGAGGAACCTGCGAGTGCGAAAATTTCCCAACCAAGATTGAAACCCAGGACCTTCCGTTGTCTATGCAGACGGCTTAATCAACTGGGCCATTGAGGCTTTTGTTAGAAGTTCGAAGCCGATTGGAGGCAATTCATTTCGCACTCTACGATATTACGATATGTCAATACAACACCTGTCTCTTATACACATCTAGATGTGTATAAGAGACAGTAGTAAGAAATCAGTGTTTAGCATGCCACAAACTATTAAACAAAACAAATTATGATATAAATTTATATCACAACCAACATTATTCAAAAGCATTATCTAAAATGGGTAAGTCGTTAAAAAATAATACATTTTAAAACTCTTTTATACATTACCCTTTGAGTTTTATAGAAAATCGTTTGAAAATTTATGACATACAGATCTTGGACATCTCAGGAAATTGAATCCCAAACTCTTGGGAATTTAATAAAAGTACTATTATAAAAAGCATTAATTCTGGATGTTTGGTGCACAAACTTTAAATGACCAGTGATTCTCTATTACTGGGTTTTGGCAGAAATATTGACAGATAATAATGGACAAAACAAAAACAATTTTCCGTTATAGATAGTGTGCTATGATGCGCGATATGTCCAGGATTAGAGAATGGAAAACATATCTATGTGAAGGTCCTTGGATGCTCTCAAGCTCATCGACATTCGTCTGATGAAATGGCAGCCATACTGGGCTGCCATACTCGATTATAAAGAGACAGATATATATGTACTATATACCATCT